TCTTTTTTTTTTGACTCTAAGCTTTAGGGACAGACAGAATTCTTCGCAGAAAAATTATATTGTGGCAGAAATGTGGCAGAATACAACATCACATTATATACGGAAGGCGGTAACTGAATTTACAGGCAGAACGGATCATATTACTAATCCCTTATTTTTCAAATGATTGTCTATGTTGTACTGAGAAGACAACACAGGGATGGTATGTTGGGCGCTTGGCACGATAATTCTTACCACTATTGGTGTAGTCGCCGCGGGGAACCCGTCGCCCCACCGAATGATCAAAACTCAGTCAGCGGAACAATGATCATCCGGGATGTCACCTTCAGCGCTCGAGCTACAACATTTCTTCATGATGTCTGTCCGGATATACACAAAACCCGAGCGTGGCCTCGCCACCGCCTACTGAATTAGATTTTGCTAAAATCACGTGCTAGTGCTCGCCTATTGAACACCGCAACTTCTTTCATCTCTTCGATTTCTATCACTCACTACTCACCTTTTTCTATTCAAAGCAGTCATGGCTTGGCGCAACCAAGGAATAACTGGCTCCAACAACATCCCGCTTGGCCGGCGACGCATGGGCGGCGAGGATGGAGAGGAGGAAAGTCGCACTGCGACCCCTTCTTCTATGCCCTCTTCATCCAAGGGTCCCGATGGGCCGAAGCGTGGGCGTAGTCCTGTTCGAGGTACGAATTTTTTTTTCCCAAAGTAAAAGTTTTGAAAACAAATCAAGATTGACCCTGTGTTTCAAAGCCGATCCAGGTCCCCTGAACACCGATGGCGATGGCAAGAGGCGTAAGAAGCGCAACCGCTGGGGTGACCAACAAGAGAACAAGGCAGCCGGTCTTATGGGCTTGCCGACTATGATCATGGCGAACTTCACCAGCGAGCAGCTTGAAGCTTACACACTTCACCTTCGCATCGAGGAAATTAGCCAGAAGCTTCGGATCAACGATGTGGTCCCTGCCGATGGTGACAGGTGCGCGTTTTTTGTCCTTGATAATCAATGCTTACATGTAAACTGACCTCACCAACAGATCTCCCTCACCACCTCCCCAGTACGACAACTTCGGAAGACGTGTGAATACTCGCGAGTACCGTTATCGCAAGCGCCTCGAGGACGAACGTCATAAATTGGTCGAGAAAGCCATCAAGACTATCCCTAACTACAACCCGCCTTCTGACTACAGACGCCCCACCAAGACCCAGGAGAAGGTCTACGTCCCCGTGAATGACTACCCAGAGATTAACTTCAGTATGATAACTAACCCTCTAACTCCTAACCATTCTTCCATTGAGTCTATCACGAGTCCCTTCTCGACTCGAGCTGACAAGGCATATCACCTTGGATGTCCTCAGCTTGTTTCTTGCTAAACCGTGGTGCCTGATGCTGCACATCTTTTAAAAAATTACAGGATCACTAATACCTAGCTCTTGCTATCTTTACAGTTGGCTTACTCATAGGACCTCGTGGTAACACCTTGAAAAAGATGGAGACCGAGTCCGGTGCCAAGATTGCCATTCGAGGCAAAGGCTCCGTCAAAGAAGGAAAGGGTCGATCGGATGCCGCTCACGGCAGTAACCAAGAAGAAGACCTGCACTGTCTGATCATGGCGGACACCGAAGAAAAGGTTAACAAGGCCAAGAAGCTTGTCCACAATGTCATTGAAACAGTACGTTCCTTGGTCTCGTTTCGTGGGTCCAAAAACCGGATTATTGACGATATATCAGGCCGCATCCATCCCTGAAGGCCAGAACGAGCTCAAGCGCAACCAACTTCGTGAGCTGGCTGCTCTTAACGGTACCCTTCGTGACGACGAGAACCAGGCTTGCCAGAACTGTAAGCGAACTCCTTTCAAATGTCCTTGTGCAATTGATTTTAACCATGGTCCTGATCAGGTGGTCAAATCGGACACCGCAAGTATGACTGCCCCGAACAGCGTAACTTCACTGCGAATATAATCTGTCGTGTCTGTGGCAATGCTGGCCACATGGCTCGCGATTGCCCTGACCGCCAGAGAGGCAGTGACTGGCGCAACGCCGGCGGCGCGGACAGACGTGGCGATCGTGCTGTTGGCACTGGTGATGCTGTAGATCGCGAGATGGAGGTAGGTTCCCATTGTGCATGGCTGCTTCATCAGACTTAATGCTAACATCTCACTTAGCAATTGATGAACGAATTGTCTGGCGGTGCTCCTGGCGAATACGAGCCCCGTCGCATTGAGGCCGGTCCCAATGGCGGTAATGGCCAGCCCGACGACCGTGATGCGAAGCCCTGGCAACAACGTGGACCGCCGCCCCAGAGTGACGTGGCTCCATGGCAACAACGCCGCGAACCTCGCCCTCGTGACGACTACGGATCCCGCGACAACTATGGCTCCCGTGATCATCATGGATCTCGTGAGGACTACGGATCTCGCAACCAGGGTGGTCCTGCCCCTTGGGCTGCACAGAACCAACACCAAGGTCAACCTCCAAACCGCGACTACGCCTACGGATCTCAAGGTGGTTATGCTGCTCCTGGTACTGCCCCAAGCGCTGCTCCTTGGCAGCAACAGGCCCCTCCAGGCGGGCAGCAGCCTGCCTACGGTGGTGGTTACGGTGGCTACGGTGGTTATGCGGCTTACCCTCCTGGCATGGGAGCTCCTGGTGCTGCCCCTCCTGGCATGGGCGCACCTCCTCCCCCTCCCGGTATGGCTCCAATGTACCCCGGAGTTGCTGGCAGTCCTCCCCCTCCACCCCCGCCTGGCGATGCTCCGCCTCCGCCGCCTCCAAGTGACCTGCCTCCCCCACCCCCACCTCCCCAGTGATGACTTTACCTCTCCAGCGAAAAAAAGTGACCTCGATTCAAATCGTTTATTTGTGCGTGAAAAAATTTGGCCATCGGGGCTTCGAAAGATAATCCAAACAGGATTGTTTTCAGAAGCCCACGGCTCGCTAACAATTGTTCCAAAAACTCTCTAGTTGTTCTTTTCTATGCAGTTTTGAGTAATGCGACTAATCCTTTTCAGTTTATCTTGGCTTCAATGTAGGATCGTCGTAGCTGCCCCGCATTCACTCGCATGTGAACGTAGCGGCCTTACCAGCTGAGCAGACCCTAATGGCAAATGGATGCCTCAGGCCTCACTCATAGGTCTCGGCTTCAGCTCCAACATTTCTCCGCAAAATCAAGCCCCCTTCAACTGTGTCCTAATTCATGCCATCCTGTATCTCGTTACCTACCTATACAATTACGAGAATCTTCATAAATTTACGCTAGTTGTATTGCACTGAAGTATCGGACCCATCCTATTATTGCATCTTCGAGGATCATCACACGGGGATTTGTCCCCTCCGGGACCCAACATGCACACTTCCACGTCTGCTCAGCGGAAACCTTCTTGGCAGTCACAGCGGCTGAAATCGGTGCGCTCAGCGCGGTCAGGTAGATCTGATCATGGTACCCTACGTCAATCTGACCAGTCTGTGAACCAACAAGACAATGCCCAAGAAAACTTGCAGTCCCGTGTATCGAGGACAGCGTCGGTGCACTCGCCCCAGGCGAAATGGTGGCACGTACACTTGTTCCGCGGAATGATCAACGACGTCAAGCGCAGAGCGCCATATTATTGGAGCGATTGGACTGATGCATGGGATTATCGTGTTGTGCCAGCTACGGTCTATATGTATTTTGCTAAGTATGCTCGAATTGATTGGAAATCAACATCTTTTCTTCAGCGCGCCGTTTCATTTGCTCACAAACAGTATAGTATCCTGCCTGCTCTGGCCTTTTCGTTAGACATGTTCGAGAAGACACGTCAGAGCTATGGCGTCAATGAAGTTCTACTTGCTTCTGTTCTTGGTGCCATTGTGTTTTCGCTTTTTGCGGCTCAGCCGTTGGTCATTGTCGGTGTTACTGGTAAGAAGACTGGAATGCTTGATCATGAAGTCTCAAACTGAGGATTATAGGTCCCATCACTGTGTTCAACTATACTGTCTATGATATCATGACTCCTCGAGGGACACCGTATCTTGCATTCATGTGTTGGATTGGGATGTGAGTTTCCCTTGTCAATTTTGGTCATTTAACTTCACTAACATCCATCAAAGCTGGTCTTTAATAATGCATTGGATACTGGCTATCACTAATTCCTGCAACGCTCTGACATATGTCACCCGATTCTCGTGCGACATCTTTGGGTTCTACGTTGCTTGCATCTATATCCAGAAGGGCATCCAAGTTCTCACCAGACAATGGGGCTCCGTAGGAGAGACCTCTGCTTACCTGAGTATCATGGTTGCACTACTTGTCCTGATGTGTGCGTGGATCTGTGGAGAACTGGGTAACAGCAATCTTTTCAAGCGACCTATTCGGAAATTCCTGGAAGACTACGGTACACCTTTGACCATCATTTTCTTTACCGGCTTCGTCTACATCGGTAAGATGAAAGATGTTGATGTTGCTACACTCCCTACTAGCAAGGCTTTTTTCCCTACCACTGACCGGCCTTGGCTTGTGCATTTCTGGGATATCAATGTTGGAGATATCTTCCTTGCCATCCCATTTGCGATTCTTCTCACAACTCTCTTTTACTTTGATCACAATGGTGAGTTATCCGCACCGAGCAAAGTACAGGAGATTTGATGGCTGACCCACCCCTTTCAGTGTCATCTCTCATTGCCCAAGGAACCGAATTTCCTCTTCGGAAGCCAGCTGGCTTCCATTGGGACCTTTGGCTCCTTGGTCTTACAACCTTTGTGGCTGGAATTCTGGGAATACCATTTCCCAATGGCCTGATTCCCCAAGCCCCCTTCCACACTGCCGCTCTCTGCGTCACTCGACAGGTCGCAGACGAAGAGGACACAAACAAGGGCAAAGCTATCCGGGTAACAGACCACGTAGTAGAGCAGCGAGTCAGCAACTTCGCACAAGGACTTTTGACCCTAGGAACAATGACTGGGCCCCTTCTCATCGTCCTGCACTTGATTCCACAGGGTGTCATGGCTGGTCTGTTCTTCGTTATGGGTGTCCAGGCTCTACAGGGCAATGGTATCACGCAAAAACTTGTATTTCTTGCCGAAGATAAGAAGTTCACCTCCGCATCAAATCCTCTCAAGCGAATCGAGCGCCGTTCCGCCATCTGGGCCTTTGTCGCTCTTGAGCTGCTTGGCTTTGGTGCGACTTTCGCTATCACTCAGACAATCGCTGCCATCGGGTTTCCTATTATCATTCTTCTCTTGATACCGGTGCGTTCGTTCCTGCTTCCTCGATGGTTCTCCCGCGAGGAGCTTGCAGCCCTCGATGGACCGACAGCTAGTCCATTCACAATGGAAAGTGTCGGTGGCACTCACGGAATGGAGGACTACGATGAAGCGGCGGCTAGCGGCGCCCGGGATGAATATTCTAGTGGAGATGGTGGAGTCCTAAGAAACCGAACTTCGGCTTCTCCGGAATCTGCAGTCGAAGAGGATGATCTCGAGCGAGGTGAGACGTATGAGCTTCCCTCCCGGGTTTCGCGCAGAAGAAGCACAGCTAGCAGGGTAGACTAAATAGTACCACGATAGGCCTATCTTGTGATAAAAGTTACCAACTTTTTTTTTAAATCCGTAATCTTGTCGGTTTGCTGTCATTATACACCAATTCATTCGCTTGGAATATTGATTTATGCCTGGATTCTCGGGCAAGAACCACAAAAATTGATTGACGCTTCATGAATCAATGATTGATCCACAGACTCAAAACCGACTAGTGTCAATTACAAGTAAAATCTTGAAACATTTGACTAACTAGGAGGCATGTATGCAGTTAAATCCAAGGTCGTTTGACACATGTGTGGTGCCTCATAAACAAGGCTATGAAATCACACCGCTTGTTGGAGATAACTTTTCTGCCACAAAATTATTTCGTCCTGATAGACAGTTGCAAATAAGATGGCGCCCCCGATCACAGAGAATCCGGAGTTCGAGGACTCTGATGTGTCCGATAATTCCGATGTGGAACAGGCGGATGTCGATGATCGAGCCCCCAAACGTCGCCGTCTCTCAGAGTCTTCCAACGACTCATACGTCGCACCTGCGCCGCTCCCCACCCTCTCTCGGATCAAGAAGAAAGGCGAGGTAGAAGCGGAGCCTGAATCGAAAGAAGAAGAACCGGTCCTTATTAGCGATGCAATTGAGCTTGGTAAAAAGAGTGGACTGTCCACTTTCGCGGAATTGGACGTCGCGCCTTGGCTTGTCTCTTCGCTAACGGCGATGGCGATCAAACGGCCTACTGCTATTCAAAAGGCTTGTATTCCTGAGATTCTGAAAGGAAAGGACTGTATTGGTGGAAGTCGCACCGGTTCCGGAAAGACCATGGCCTTTGCAGTTCCGATTATGCAGCAGTGGGCGCGGAATCCATTCGGGATCTACGCTTTGGTGTTGACGCCAACTCGGTACGTTTCGATCTTCAGTGTGGAACTGAAAATCTGTATCTTATGTCTTCGGTAACTGACCTTGTTTAAGTGAGCTTGCACTCCAGATCTACGAACAATTCAGGGCCGTTTCCGCGCCGCAAAATATGAAGCCCATCCTCGTCGTCGGGGGCGTGGATATGCGCCAGCAGGCTATTGAACTTGCGAACCGGCCGCACGTGGTCATCGCAACACCCGGCCGACTAGCCGATCATATCAAGACGTCCGGAGTCGACACAGTAGCCGGTCTCCGCCGCGTTAAAATGGTTGTTCTCGATGAAGCCGATCGCCTGCTAGCCAGTGGGCCAGGAAGCATGCTGCCAGACGTAGAAACATGTCTCGGGGCACTTCCACCATCCGCTGAGCGACAGACGCTGCTATTCACAGCGACCATGACAGCCGAGGTGCGGGCACTGAAGTCCATGCCGGCAGCAGGCAACAAGCCACCGATCTTCACGACCGAGATCGGTACCGAGAACCAAGGCAAGATCCCGCCAACTCTTAAGCAGACATACTTGAAGGTTCCCATGACGCACCGCGAGGCCTTCCTGCACGCGCTGCTCTCCACCGAAGTAAACGTGACTAAACCAGTCATCGTTTTCTGCAATCATACCAAAACATGCGATCTGCTAGAACGCACCCTCCGTCGCCTGGGCCACCGTATCACCTCCCTCCACAGTATCCTCCCGCAATCCGAGCGCACGGCTAACCTGGCTCGTTTCCGAGCCACTGCTGCCCGTGTCTTGGTTGCTACGGATGTTGCCTCGCGTGGTCTTGATATCCCGTCCGTAGAGTTGGTGATCAATTTCGATGTGCCGCGAAACCCGGATGACTATGTGCACCGTGTTGGTCGTACTGCCCGTGCGGGACGGAGTGGTGAGGCTACCACGCTTGTTGGACAGCGGGATGTTGAGCTCGTGCTTGCTATTGAGGAGCGGGTTGGGAGGCAGATGGAGGAGTTTGAGCAGGAAGGTGTCAATATTGAGAGCCGTGTTGTTAGAACCGGTCTGCTTAAGGAGGTTGGCTCTGCGAAGCGTGAGGCTGCCGGTGAGATTGATGAGGGTCGTGATATCCTTGGACGGAAGCGTAATAAGTTGAAGAAGGTTCGGTGAGGGCAAATGCCTTGTTAGATGGATGTTGTCTCCATGAATCAAGTGATACATTTAGCGATTCTCTACTTGAACACTTGAACGTTGAACCTAAGGGTTTTAACACTGTCTTGCAACATTCTTAGGTGAGACACCACATGGCAGTCTTGTGTGCTCGCCTGGGAAGACAACATTACCATTGGGTTCAATCTTTGTATCCTGGTGTTCGGACGAGAACTGATCACTGTTCAAATGCACAAATGGTATCATTGATCGCAACGTATAGACAAATTATTCTAATAATGCTGCATGCTTCCACAACGGGAGAACCCGCTGTTATGTGGGACCCAAACTTAGACATGCTCGTCGCTTGGCCCTGTACATCATGCAATGCGACCTGATTCACTCAGACATGCTCCACACAGTGAGCAAAAGTCCGCAAAGGACAAGGACAATGACGCCGAATCATCCAGTCCACGAGTCCGAACTTTGATTGCCTGTCGTACTCATGAGTTTCAAGAGCCCATCGACCGCATCACCCCGCTGTGACGGCGACAGGACATCCACATCATCCAAACTAAGCTCAGCTCTTGAGACCATGCTTGTTTCCCTATTGGCTTCACGGCGAATGACCGTAGCTGGAGGACTACTCAACTGCATTGGGGAGCCGAGCCCACGGGGGGGTGTTTGTTGCGCATGCAACTTGGTGCGTTGCTGAACAACGCTAGAAGACAAAGGGGAAGGTCGACCTGGAAGATCAGGTGTGCTGTGGGAGGGAGTGGAAGTGAAGCCAGCACAGCCGATGCGGGGTGTCTTCATTTGCGAGGATGGGAAGGTTGTGAAGTGTTTGCGCGACGAGAGGGGTGGTGTGGAAAGGACGGAGAGTGAGAGCCGTGGGCATTTACGACTGTGTGCTTCTAGCTCGGAGACCCGGCGGTCGAATTGGTAGTCTGTCACATTGCGCATCGCGCTCTGTAGTCTTGATCGGAGAAGGCTTGCTTTCTGCTCAGTTGTTAGAGGCTGCCTGCTGGGGAAGGCGTTTGATACTGATATCATGGTTCGCATACTTGTTGGATAAACAATTTGCGCGCATCGGAGTCCGAGATAACGCTACGCGTGTCTTCCTCGGGGGTTCTGGGCACATTGAAAGATTGGTCGGTGTCCATTAGATCTTGTGCTTGGTCACGGTCTGATTGCGAGGGTTGTGGTGCGGGGTTTTGGTTGAGCTATCATCCTCACGTTACAAGGTCAGCTTTAGATTGATCATTCTCGGGATCTCTGGGATCTATCCCGCATAAGCTTACCTGGCTTTGTCTATCATCATCGACAGTGGATTGGACGCCGGGCTGCGGGGAGGATGCCCGCGTCTGCCCGTGTCCGAGGGTTTCTTCCATTTCCTCCATTTGATCCCGTGTCCGTTTTTGACCTGCAAATATGGGAGAAGGAAGGAGCTTCTTTGGTGAGATCGTAATCGAGATCCGCTTGACTGGTGTCCCAATGGCCGGGAATGATGGTTTGGCGTGTGTGGCGGGGGACAGACACGCGTTTGAGTCCTTCTCGCCGAGAATTCGTCGCCCGTCCTTAATGGGACTGAGTTGCACTGAGGTCGAATTCATGCTAGAGCTTTGGAGAGGG